ACCAGGATTTGCTTATGTTCTAAACTTACGCGCTTGTTAGTAAGATTTCCTTTTGAGGAGAAGCGTTATCGCGATAACAACGAGTATTTTCTAACATATCCAACGCAATATTTTCCATAACGATTTCTTAGCAACGTAGCGGGAATACCTCAAACCCTATTATCGATAATAAAGTATGGTTTTAAAGCTAAAATATCGACAAAAAAAAAATTCCAAGCACATTATATAGTACGAGGTATGCGCTATCTGAATGACACTAGCGGCATCTCGTGGTAAAAACCATAACTACGACTACGGAATCGTTCTGTAATCAGACGCCAGTCTCTTTTGTCCCATTTACTAGTGAATCTGAAACGTGCGACAGATTTACTGTCATTATTTTTCTATGGAATTGTTTTAGAATCAGGAATTTTAGCTTGCAAGAATTTCCAAGAATGTGATCTATCCTCATCATTTATTACTAGTGATGTAACGAATATTTGGTTACTATTCGGTATTCGGAATATTTTTCACTATTCGGCCGAATACCGAATTCCTAAAAACAGGAGTAAGAATTAACAAAAACACAGTGAACCAGTCGGCTGTTCATCGCGATAATCTGAAACAACACCATTGTTGCGTGACATTTACTGGTTTTTATAGTAATTTTTAAATTTGCAATATTTCACTTAAAAATTGTTGTAGATCTGATCTGTTTTTTGCCTTTTATCATTCACATATCGCACTTTACGATTGTTAACTTCAAAATATTAAAAATATTCAAAAAAATTTTTAAAAATTTATAAAATTCGAGAATTCAAAAAATTAAAAAAAGAAATTTTTTTAAATAAACATCTGATTAATCCGTTATATATGTTAGATAGATAGGTCTATATACACACATATAAAAAAAAACTGCAGCTTTCTAAACCGATGTAGAGAAATAATACGACCTATAGATTATAACGCCGATCGGCGTGTAAGGGGGGTGGTGGGTATTTCAAATTTAGGTCAATACACTTTTTAGTACTGATGATGTATATTTGATTCTATTTATGTTATTTACACTATTGTACTAACAGTGGTATATATCAAGCGATTATTACTTTAATATATTAACGATTATACGTGTATTTTTTACGTATTACGAAAGTTACGTGATAACCGGAAGTACTTTGTTTTTTAAAAGATTTATAATTAGATGGTTTAAAAAACATGCTTATTTGTTAAATAGGATAAATATTTATAAAAATTTACTAAACTGAAGCTAAAAATAGACGAGAATAATGATTTATAATTGTTTGTTTACGTTTGTAGCTAACAATGTAGCTCCGATAAAAATAACTTTTTCCCAGAAAGTTCCCACCCCACAAACCCAAGTCAACGCTTATTCGTTAAAAGATAGTCATTTAACTATAATATACCAATTAGAGGTCAACAGACGTGCAAACAAGAATTTTATTGTCCAATGAACGAAAGAAGGGTCTTTCATAGACTTAGCATGGAAAGAAAAAGTTTTGTGGGTAAATTTAAAAATAAGGAGTGGTAACAAATATCTTAATCGTTGAAACAGACTTAGTCTATGTAGGTAAATGCCAATCAGTGCTTAAATCGCCACCAACTAGTTAATTACGAAAAGAAATTGACACTTACTCCAATCGGAGTACCGCGCAACCAACTGGTGAATTAATCATTTTGGTATTTAGTTTTAGAATGTTATGGAGTTAGTGTTGTTTGTTTATATTTATTTATAACTTATAACATGCACAAAGTAGAAAAAAAAATAATATTAGTCACATGTATTCACAATTTATAAAACAAAGATCAGCACACGTACACACCTATTCGTTCGAGAATCGTCGCACATCCGAGGGTCTGACCCTGCCTATCTTTCTTTTTAAGCGCTCGTCTTTGCACTTCCTTTTATCTTTCTTCTATCGTTCTAGTCCACGTAGGCCTATTCATACATCATAATACGCGCTCACGATACTTCGATTCGTCACTTTTCCGTCGTAGATTTTCCATTTTACAATTACGTGACTCGTAGCCTGGCGATAACGGAGAAAAGAGACAGATAGGACTTCGGTATAAGTCACAGTTATGATTTCACAGATTCGAGACAGCTTGGTAGCCCGAACGGCCCAGGCTCTTGCCCGTGCACGCTAAGTGACTTTCATTACAAGCATTCAGCTTTCCGAAGCCTATGACAACAATTGTTTGGCATTGACGGGCGCGAATTTCGCGCCAGTAAGCTGCCTCGACTCGTTCGATTATGTTATCGACTCAATTTCATATTTATTTTCACATTTTGACTTCGCCGTTCACACTTTCATTCTTTTTCCGTTATTTACACGTGTAGGTCATTTTATTGTTATCCACATTTGATATCATCATTTATCACATACTGCCATGACGCTCGTGTCTGACCGCTACAACTGTCAAGAATTAACGCGATTTGCGAAGCGTAGTGACAGCGGGCCAATAGAGAGCAGGGTCCTTGCCATAATGCGGTTTGCGCACCAATTTTCGTACGAGCGTTAATCGAGCCGAATAGTTTGGCCGAATATTCGGCTATTCGGCAACGCTCCTAGCCGAATATACTATTCGTTGCAACACTATTTATTACATTTTTTAATGTCTATCATAAAAAATATATGTGCAACATCTGCAGTAATTTGTATATTATAAAGATGCCCAGTGTCTACCTATGCACTCAGTCATTAAGTAAACAATAAGAAAAAGAATACAAACTTTCGGAATAAGTCATAAAAATTCCAATCAACATACAGATTACAATATTCTGTATGTTGATTCGAATATTCTTGTTAGAATGATAACGTCATAGTACTTTTGTAGATAACAAACAGCAGTAGATTTTACTTTATTAGAAGTAAATAGCAGTTTTATTTTTTTAAAAAATGAATAAAGCATTACTAAAAAATTCGATATTTGAAAAGAAAACAAATAAATAAAAATAATTAGTTTTTTTTAAATTAAAAAAATTATTAATCTTTTTCTATATTTTTATATTCACGCAAAAAGTTATTTCAGTTAAAGTTAAGCTAATAAAATAAATTTAAATGGTTGCATTTATAGTGGTTTTTAATTTTGTAAAACACTTCTATAAGCTATTTGGAATTAGAACTTTTCAATGCTATGGAAATGACTATCTTAATATTTTAATTCTTAAATAATGTAATTTGAAATCAAGATATTTAAGTCAAGTATATTAGTCCAGTGTTCGCGACATAAAAAATTTAAAGTACAGTTTAATATTATTAATACTGTACTTTAAATTTTTTTCTCTCGATATATTTTTAATAGTTCCGAATATAAACCGTGCATGCAGCTTATCGAAAATTTGTTTCCAGAGCTTTGTTACTTCAAACGCTTGTTACAATCTATACTACAAAAGTTACAAATTCCGAGCAAAATGTGTTAGTGTAATTCGTTTTTTTATATATAGTATTTATTATTTCGGATCTCTTCTTATTCATTAGTTTATAAAAATATTAATAAAGACGTACACTAATTTTAGTTATGTACTAATGTTAAATCAAACTGGTTAACTCGAATTTATCAAACTTTCAATAACTCAAATGGAATATTGATACAGTATTTACATAAACTCGCCGGAATTATAATTTATATGAAATAATTAATGTTTGTCTATCGAATAAATTAATTACGAATTTTCTGTAAAGCTTACGACTAACAATAAACGTCGTGTCATATGACGTGGGAAGTGCTGCGTCTGATACCTAGTGTGACCTACAATTCAATGTGACTGCTATTCGAACCAGCTTACAAACCAGAAAATTATTTATTGTTTTATTTGATTCTGGTAGATTTTCGACTAGCCGACGTAATAAATAAATGGATTTTTGATAAATTATTTTAAGAAACAATTATAGTACGATTCTACGTAAAATTTTGAAACACAACAATCTTAGTGATACATTTATAACAAAAAAATAAGAAACAGGTCGATTCCGAGCGTGAAATATCGCAATTTGAAAAAAAAATCCTTATTAAATTATAAAACTTATAATGAAATAAATAATTTATCAACAAAGAACTACTGTTTTTAACCTTATTGTTTATTGAAATAATAAACTGAACATATTAATATAATATTAAACATTATATATTATGAATTAAAATAATATTATCAAATATTGTAAATATAAAAATGATTATCAATTTTTATTACAACTTTTTATTTAAATAATAGAGTATGTATTTTCTCTGGTTTTATTCTATTTCTCCTTTCATTTATTATGTGATTAGCTTTCGAATATGTTCTCTGTTCGGTACCGTCCCATCGGTTAATTCTAATTAACATTTGTATTACAATCAAGACATTACACTTCATAAATTCTTATAATCTAAATGCAAACAAGACACAAGTTTATTGCTTTGAATTTTACTCTATTACATTGGTGTTTTCATTTTTCTTTTTACTGCTGCTTCTAATTTTTAAGTACAGAACATTTAATCTATAAATTAACTACAATTTTTACTTCTATAATATACAACATTGTGTCTAGTGTTTGGTTGTCTTTTTTTCGCGATTGTATAAATCATATATAAAAGGAAACTAGGGTTTATCGAACTATCTGCTATATAATCATAATGTTTGTGTTAATAAAAACAACATATTAATTATTCAAATATCTTAAATATCTTTATCAAAGTTACATTCATATATGTTTCATTCTATAGCATAAAAGAAAAATACTAAAATAAATTACAAATTTTTTTTATCCAACATATTATTAACTGAATAATTTATGTTTGGCCTAATTCATACAATACAGAGAGTATATTGTTATCAACAGTTTAATTTACGTAAAATTAAATATGAGAAATGATTAATGTGATAAATGAATAAAATGCAATAAACAACAAAAATAGTATTAATGTAAAGCAAATTTAATAAAAGTAATCGTAATACATTTTATTGTTATCACTTTCATCTACAAAAATATAAAATACAATTAATGAGTAATGTGAATAAAAGTATAATTGTTTCGATACAGTTTTTAAATGCATTCGTCCAGATTACATGATATAGGCCTATGTTTATAGTGATATATATTTGAAAAAAAAATTACTCAAACGTACTATACATCTTACTTAATATCTTACAACATTCGTCTTTTTTCTACACGCATTCTTATACCCGGTATTGGGGTCAACACAACTGCGTATGAAATAACGATTTTGTCCTGAGGATCCAAAGAGTAGACTTTAAAATTTCGAAGAACATTTGCCAAAACCATTTTCATTTCAATCATGGCAAGTTTACCTCCTGTAAATAAATTATTTTAATGACATAATTCTTTTGTTTTTGTATTTATTCACTAATCACTTACCGAGACAATTTCGTGGGCTGGCAGAAAATGCCAGAAATGCGTAAGGATGAAGATTTTTATAGTTTTCAGGTAAGAAACGGTCTGGATCGAAAACTTCGAGATTTTCGTAAACAGAAGGATTATGATGAATACCATAGATATTTATGACAAGAGTCGAATTTGCAGGCAACACGTAATTACCTGTTTGAATGACATCAATTTCATGCTTTAAGTCGATAACAAATATAAAATATTATTATTTAAAAACAACTCGCATAATGTTAAAAATTTACCTATTTTCATTTCGGAAGAATTTTTTCTTGCAATACCAGGAAAAGGAGGATAGATTCTCATCGACTCCTAAAAACTATAATGTATGAAACTAATCTGAATGTATTTTAAAAAATAAAAAAATTTACCTTAATCACGCATTTCAAGTACGTCATTTTCGTCAGATCATCGATAGTAATATCTCTATTCATATCATTTTCGAAAATTTCTTGTAATTCTAGATACACTTTCTCTTGAATTTCGTGGAATCTTCCCAGGAAATATAGAGTCCATGACATAGCGTGGGCGGTTGTATCGTAACCCTGTTATTAAAATACGTTGAAATGGTATATAAAATTGCATTCTTTATAAACTTTCTCTTGTATTTCGTGAAATCTTCCCAGGAAATAGAGAGTCCATGACATGGCGTGGGCGGTTGTATCGTAACCCTGATATTAAAATACGTTGAAAAGAAATGTAAAATTGCTTTCTATATAATTGACANTACGTAAAATTAAATATGAGAAATGATTAATGTGATAAATGAATAAAATGCAATAAACAACAAAAATAGTATTAATGTAAAGCAAATTTAATAAAAGTAATCGTAATACATTTTATTGTTATCACTTTCATCTACAAAAATATAAAATACAATTAATGAGTAATGTGAATAAAAGTATAATTGTTTCGATACAGTTTTTAAATGCATTCGTCCAGATTACATGATATAGGCCTATGTTTATAGTGATATATATTTGAAAAAAAAATTACTCAAACGTACTATACATCTTACTTAATATCTTACAACATTCGTCTTTTTTCTACACGCATTCTTATACCCGGTATTGGGGTCAACACAACTGCGTATGAAATAACGATTTTGTCCTGAGGATCCAAAGAGTAGACTTTATAATTACGAAGAACATTTGCCAAAACCATTTTCATTTCAATCATGGCAAGTTTACCTCCTGTAAATAAATTATTTTAATGACATAATTCTTTTGTTTTTGTATTTATTCACTAATCACTTACCGAGACAATTTCGTGGGCTGGCAGAAAATGCCAGAAATGCGTAAGGATGAAGATTTTTATAGTTTTCAGGTAAGAAACGGTCTGGATCGAAAACTTCGAGATTTTCGTAAACAGAAGGATTATGATGAATACCATAGATATTTATGACAAGAGTCGAATTTGCAGGCAACACGTAATTACCTGTTTGAATGACA